TGTAATTGTGTGTATATACTGATTATAACCTGCCGTTTGATTTCTTGGATCTAATTGGATCTATCAATCTATTGTATTCTATTGTGTCTGAGCCAAAAATTGGACAGCAGCATATCTTCCTGCCAGCAAATAAACTTCATCGGCTGCAGCACGCAACAGCTGCCTGTCCGTCTCGCAAGCAATGGTGGAAGCTGAGCAAACACGTCAGTCATCTACAAGAGCTCACAAGAACCTACCAGTCTTGATATTCTCATTTCATCTCATATCATCAGACTGGATTCACGGAAAATCAAATGATCCCACTTTCTCAGGAACACGTCAGAAATCCATGAGCATCACGGAGCATGCTTTTGAACTGCAGCCGCGGCTTGGATGAAGGCACTTCTGGAGATCACTTGAAGCTCCTCGCAACCCGCAGCTACCATGCATGCTGTGGCTTCATCTTCCTGTTCCCAAGAACTTCGCATGGCGGCCAAATGTTCTTCCAGTTGTGTTTCTGCTTTCTTCTTCTCCCTGGCCATGGTGCCACGCACCCGCGACTCCGTGGGATCGTTGTTCCGGATCTGCCCTGTGCGCTCGTTCATCCACACGGCTTTCCCATCGCGATCTGCGGTGGCCACCCAGTGATCGCGGCGACGGCCTTCCAAGGCTTGCGAGCGCGCAAAGGCTTCAAGGCCCTCGGCGTATTTCCGCCACTGCAGCTCGAAACGCTTCAAACTCCGCGCCTCGAATTCTTGGCGCCGCTCCTGCTCTGCTACTTCTGAGCACCAGGAATGCAACAACAGCACTTCGGGCTGCAAGATAGGAATCCAAGCTCTTCTTAAGAACTCAGTGGCTCTTGAAGTCTTCCTCCTTTGTCTCAGCTTTGCAAACACCTTGACCATCTCAAGTGTGAGACTTGGAAGTTCATCCCCTTCAGCTTCATTCTTGCTTCGCCCAGCAAAAGTGTTAGCTCGTTTGAAGGGCGGTGCCCAGCAGTAGCTCCAACCTTTGCTCCAGCGAGCTCGACAAAAAGCTTGGATCCTTACAACTGCATCTTTGGCAGCTTGATCCACATCCAAAGAGCTGCTCCAGCCACTGCTTCTGCGTCTCAAAATGTATCTCCTCAACCGCCGCGTCAGGCGTAGCATCAAGCACGCCCTGCGGGCCTTGTCCAAGGTGCTGCGCAGGTGTCGGAGGCGTGGCAGAAACCTTCGTCGACAAGCCAATTGGATCACCACCGCAGCGTCTTCCCGCGCTTCAGCGGCACTTTTCAGGGTTTTGGCTCGACGTTTCAGCAGGGCTCGGCAGATTCGTCGCGCAGCTGCACGCTGTCGCAAATCCAGAAGCCGCGCCTGGCGCGGAGCCTCGTTCCGAAAACACTGTTCAGCTTTCGCATACCACGTGTCCCAAACCGAAATTGCTGAGTCACCCTGTGGTGATTGCTCCACTGAGCCCAGTGGATTCCGCAAAGCCCTGAGCTTCTGTTGCAAAAGCCCGGACAAGTTTTTGTTTCGACTGGGATAGTCCTCCCGACTTGCAGGTGGGATCAGTCGAAGTGTTTCGGCATGAGCAGCTTGGGCCAGTTGCGTGAGACGAGTAGAAAAGGAATCCTGTTCACGAGGCGGTACTGGCGTGGAGAAGTTGGCTTGTTCTTCGTAGCCTGCCAAAGTATCACACAACAAGGCCTGCAACAACAGTCGGTGCCCATCTGGCAGCTCTGCAATCTCAGCCAGCAGCATCCCTTCACGCCAGCAACGCCACTCTTCACGAACGATGAGTTCATTTCGTTCATTTCGTTGCTTTCGTTGCTCGTTTGCCCAGTCTGCCAAGGTCTCGTTCGCCGCGTTGAGACTGTTGAGACTCAGGGCCCTCTTCCAGTCCTGGCGTCGCTCCGAAGCCAGCCGTCGCAGCTCCGCACATGTGGCATCCACGGCATGCGGGGTCATGACATGGGGTATGGAGGCAGAAATTGGCTGGGAAACAAACGTGAAACAAACGTGAAACACAGAATATGGAAATCCCTGTCCCTTGACTGAAGGCTGGATAAAGTTGGGAAGTTCCCCAGGGCAGTTCAGAATTGCTTTGTCACAATCACCAGAATGTTGTGGCAGAAACATCTTCCATCTTTCTTATGCATAATCGAAACCTCTGCTGCAACTAAAGAAAACAAAAGGCCAATATGATAGCAGCATGATGTTGCTGTTGTCAGCTAGGCAGTTTCCTTGAGACAAATCAAATGAAGATCACTGAAACGTCACTAATTACATCATTCTCCGCCCATTGTCAAGCCCTCTTGCCAAAGAATCCAATGCAATCGCAGCGACGTCTAGCTGGCCAATGCTTCACTGTAATTTCATGGACACTGGGAGACTTTGTCAGAGCATGTCTCTTTTTTGACCATGTTGAGGATCTTGCTAGGGCGGTACCGAGAGCAGTCTACTATGTGACTATGTGAGAAACAATTGAGGATTTCAATGGCAACAGTCAATGCATGAAACTTCAACCAAACGAACGCACTGTTAAAACCGTGTTCCGTGTTCACATGACTTTAGATGCAAGCTTTCCAACTGGCTTCAGAAGTGCCTACCAGTGAAATTGGAAGATCTATAAAAAGGATCTCGGTCAGGGCTCTCACACAGGTACGACGAGGTAGGCAGGGGAGGCTCAACCCACCTTGGCAAAGGGGGCAAAGGCCGTTGGGCCCCTCAAAGATGGACCACCGAAGAATCTGCTACCAATTCAACAGCAATAAAAAAAAGTTAGAGCAGTCATAGTGATATGAGATTATATAAGTTGTTCTAAGATACTGTGTGACCAACATCAAGCATGCTTGGATGCATAACATTATGTAGAAACGCAGCATCATGTACCTGACAATGGGCAAACTAACCAATGAAAGTGGGATGTTGTTGGATAGTACGCTATGGGGATCCCACCAATCCACCAGCTCACTGCCAAGTTCTAGGGGAAACCAGCCTCCTTTGCCCCCCCCCTAATTGTTGGGCGCCACCCATGGGTTTCTGTTTACACATCCAAATAGCTTGGATGAGACTTCAGTCAGTGTGGAGATTCCCAACTCGCAACACCATATGAGTGTGGGGTCATGGAGCACCCCAATTTACTGGATGGTTAATGGTTATATAATCAAAAAAAAAACACCATCTGAGGTCCCCTGGGCCTTCAATTTTGCCAGGCCACGTTGAACCAAGAGATGCTTCGAGGCTTCACAGAGCTGTGGAAATCCTGGTGTTCTGGAGCAAGGAGTCGTTCATCATCTATTTGGGTACAAGATGGTACAAGTATCATGAGTTTATCATGAGTTTATCATAAGTTTATCATACTTTATCAGAGTTGATCATCCATTCTTCCAGGAATCAGGAAGCACCCAGGGAACCATAAAGAGACCCCGGCCCGCTCCTTGGTGCAGGTGAGGAACTCCACCTTGGTGCATCAAAAAGATAGACCCACCAGGACCCACCAAATTCATCGTTGTTTGATCGTTTTTTGATGGTTTGTAGTGCAGTTTGTAGTCACTGAAATCAATTGAACCATATTGAATCACTTCATGGGGCTGATCATTAAGCCAAACTTGATGACCCGCTTTGGCTTTTCAGATGATTCATATATGCAATGAAACAGGTGTTCCATTTTGCGTTCCAACAATGTACACAACTTCAAAACCACATCTTGCTGGTGGCACAATGTTTATATTGTCGATATACATATACAGTATATATATATATATTGTCGATATACATATACAGTATATATATACGTATAGTATAGTACCTGTTTATTTAACATACATGTTATTATACGTCATATAGATGTATCCATCATCCAGGGAACACTCCACCTGGGCCCTCCCACGCGCAGGACGCTGCCAGCAGGTCCCTCCACCAACCAGGACGTTCGCCTGGCAAAAAGCGGTCTTATAGTCTAATCCCATGTTGACAGAAAGACAACCGTTACTGGATTTGATGATGGCTTTAATCTAATTTAATGTTACTGAATACAATTTGTTCTCTAAATGATGTTTAGATCATTGATGATAATTGCTATCCAACTAGATGCGGAATCACTGTGTTTAGGCCAAAATTTTGAAGTCCATCTGCCCCAAACGAGGCCAGGAGGCAAGTCTTTGTCTGGACCCATAATGGGACCCAACGAGTCCCTGGCGCGGACCGTTTCGTGGGTTGTGCAGTGGCAGGTCTCTTTTCCCAATCGGGGCCGACCTCTGGGAAGAAATGGGAAGATCGAAATCAAATCAAAGATATCAAAGCATGACGTATCAATGGATTCAATGGCAATGGCAATATCAGAAGGCTTGTGGTACTAACAAGAATGGCAAGGCAAGTAAGTATGGTGCGGAAGGATGCCCAGAATCCAGAACATGTCGAGGCACTTCGAGGCTGCCCGATTTGAAGTGACAAACAGAAACTCAGTGGCAGTTGCGGCCCGTTGTCGTGCAATCATGCAGGCTTGGCGAAGTTGTGTCTTGAGGCCCAATGTTCCTGAAGCATGCCATTGCGGCAAGCATGTTGGGTCCACTATCAGACATGCCGGGTTCATGTGGACCCTTCGGGTTGAGAAGCAAAGACAGCAAAACGGATGCTTCAGGCGAAAAGGGTTTTCCAAACAGTCTCCAAAGCAGCAAAGTCATCAAAAGGTTGTACAGTACTCAATAGCTATGATACTAGTTGTTACGTAAGGCATTGTTTGAATATATTTGAATATGATATGCAAGTCGGTCAGTTATTATTCTGTACAGTTATGCATTGTTGCCAATGCAGACTGGGTCAATGACTTGCTTGTATCTCCGTCCACCTCAGACAAGGAGAATCAGGGGACATCCATGGCCTATATAGAGGCAACTTCGTGTGCAGTGCGTGTGCAGCAGAATTTTTAAATTCAAATGGATTCACGTATTGATAGTGGCAAAATGTGGCAAACAGAAACTGTATGATACTGATTGATACTGTATATATCATTGTCTGTCAGGCATTATAGTGGCAGAGTCAGTGCAGCTGAGATGCAAGGATTCGGAATTCCAACGTTCCGCCATCTGGCACCTGAGACGTCTCAGCTGCAGCGCCGGTCAGGGCCGCAAGTTTCGGGTGCCCTGGGCTCCGAACCGGAATGTCTTGGAAGTAGAGTCCAGGCACCTCAGATACAGTAGGTCCAATATAGCGCCCTGGATGCGCCAAAATTGCAATTCAACTAGTTTTGGCTTGATGGTTTCTACCCTTGGGCCCTAACAGATTCAATTCAAATGATGAGAGGTGAATAATCCCAAATGGTTGATGAAAAACTGAACGCTGATGATTGGAAACCAGCAACCACTATTCACTATTGGTGCGCGTGGGTCTTGAGGGCCTCACATTACCTTCCTGCATTCGGTCAACATCCCACTCATTGTGGTTGCCAGTCGTCGCATAGAACTCTGCAGGATCCTCCTTCACCTGACAGTGCCGAGCCCTTCCCTGTCCTGAAGATTCACCCAAAAACTTGGAAACACCGTTGGTGAAACATGGCCGTAAGGTCCCAAATTATGGTCATATTCTCAGGCTCCAAAGTATCCAAAGTGGTGATCCAAACTCAGGTATCCCAATGGTCTCCCAATGTTAATCCCCAGTTTAACAGCTTCCTGGAGCCCAGCCTGCTCCTTCTCGAAAGTCACCGACTCTTCACCCGTGAGCGGATCCTTCCCAGCCGCTGGCCAGAATCGACAGAAGAAAGTGCCAATCAAACCAATTGGTCCATGCTTTTTGAGCCATGAATTCCTATCATTTCCCTGTGTATCAATGGTAGAAGAATCGCCGAGGAACAAGTGTCATGGGAGGTTGAGTATGCTTGAACCCAGCTCCAGAAGCAAATTGCCATGAACAAGGACCCCTAGATTGGATAGTTGTCATCAAGAAGGACCTACTGGCTGCTCCCCAACAAGCCATGGGAGGTTGAATCATAGTTGACCCAGACCTTGGCCTTCCAAGTTGCCATTCCAATAGGTAATTCCCCTCGTCATAGCACATCAATACTTGGCAGCAACTGGGACTGGAAGGGTTGGGATCAGCATCTTTCGGCCTTTTCCAACATGACTTTGTAGCTGTCGCCCATTGTGGCTTTGTAGTCCAGCCTCAGCAACTTTTCGGAGCGCTGGCTGTTTCTCGTGGCTTCCCCCTTGTCGATTTGGCTGGAATGCTCTTGCGGAAATTGTAACCTGATTGAATATCCATATATCATATGCCGTCTTGAATACAGATACTAATAGCCATACATAGATACAAAACCGTGTACCGTATGTGTATTTATAAATGTAGCCATCATGATTAAGATGTATTGTGTATATAATATATGATATAGTAATATGCATTGATTGAACATCATTGAGCATTCCCACGGTCTTCCATTCGAATGTGTAAAAGATTGTAAAGTGTAAATCATGTCTCATATCTGGAGTTAGGGAGGCCCTCTACACAACCTGCTGAAAATTGCAGATGAGCGGCCCTCTGTAGTCCCAAAGCGAGGGATCGGTTGTGCCATCTGTGACGATAGGTGGAGTGGCTCGCATGATCTTCCTCAGAGGACGCACAAAGGTTCTTTATCAAAGTGAAGGTGAGAAGAACTGCATTTGCTGCCGGCCTCGGAGTCTAAACATGTCCAAACAAATGAGTCCTCTCCAACTAAAAGTTGGTCATGGTTTGTCAACAAATAACTGGAGCAGACATGAGCAAAACCACCATCCGCCTTTCCCTCAACCATCACCTAGCCCGGTTTTTGGGTGTCTATCCACCATTCTTGTTCCATCCAACAGCTTCTCTCGGGGCGGATCTTCAAGAAGACTTTGCGGAAATCCACGTCCGGCTGTGCCTCTGCACAGCTTCGCACAGCGATTCATGGCCGCAAAGCGTCCAGCATCCCAGCCTTCTCACCCCAGAAGATGGCGTGGCCGTTGGTTCCACCCACACCGAAGGAGGACACCTGCCGAATCCAAATGGGAAGGATGGGTCAATTGATGTCAATTGGTTTAAGGTGCATAAATCAAATTGCGGCCCTGCTAAGGCTGCAAGAAGGCTGCCTGACAATGGCCCTGGGCATACTTGTAGACCTCAGAGAATGCCACTGGACGGCACTGCCAGGAGGGTTCGAGCAGTCCAAAGCGACGGACAGGGAGGGGGTGACCTCTCTACTGACAGCAGCAAAGAACTTGCTAGATTGAACTGATTTGTGCAAAGCAATCTGTAACTATCCACGTGAAATCGGACTGTTCCACCTTTTTTGATTATTTTTTGATGGCATTCTGAGGAGATCTGAGGAGACTACGGTATGTTCCGTGGTGTACAAAGCATCGAAGGCCGCGTGGTCCAAGTGAGGATTCAGACACTTCACATGCTGCGTCGGCAACTGAGCCAGGCTGAGCGTGGGGAATTGATTCTTCCCACCAGGGACTTCATATCTTCATGTCATAGCGTGGGGAATCCAAACATGCAGCTGGATACGTTTGGGGTTCCAGTTGGCTTTCCAAACCATGAAACCTGCGCCTGCAATCCAGGAACCCTTCAGAATCATCCACAGTAAAGACTGAGTTCCAAACAGCCATGGCATGCATCACCACCAGAATGCACTTGTTCATGGCAATGGCCGCCGCACTGCCCTCCAAGTGACCCAGGTTGGACCTCGGCGACAAGGGAAACCCATCGACAAAGATTATGGGTGAAATTGGATGGAATTGGTGCATGGCGGAACCTCAATTCACAAGATTCACTGGGGTCCTACTGTTCCAAATCTCCGTTTCACTGCATATAATCGTGCACAACTTACAACCATTGACAGGGGTTCTTTCATCCACATTTTGGAGACGCAAAAGATCACTGCGTGAAGCTGTCTCAAACTTGGGAGGAACCTCATTTGATTCATGAGTGAGAACAAACTTTCTCATTCCCTGAAGTTCATTCGCTTGAGTTGAGATAAATTAAATAATAAAAAATTGGGCTAACACATTCCACTTACATGACTTGAGAGCAGGCGGAGGCGGACGAAAGGTAGTGTAGTGGGAGAGGAGTGGTGTCAAAATGCTGCGCCCCTAAGATGATACACCAAAAACGTTTTTTCGCAGTCTAAGATGATTTTATCCAGAGCATGACTGCATGATACGGTGTCTTGTGCAGCGTGAAATGATGCACGAAAAGGGGTTTATTTAAAACCCCTTTTTAAGACCCCTTGCAGCAACTGTTAGAGGCTGAAGCATACCAATTATGCTGGACTACAGGGACATCTCCCTCATGGAAAGTGTGCCTCTAATGTGGGGGCCCGTGACCGCGTCACCCGTGGGAATTGAACCCATGACCATTTTAGAGGGGGGGGGGCCCTTATAATTGATATCCAATACATAACGGCGAGAATTCCACATTTGACCCGGGCTGGCCCCCCAATATACCCCCTATGATTGTGCTGAAGCACGGAGAACTCAGGTAGCTGACGCTACCTTTCGTGATTTACATCCACTTACATGATATATTGCTCGTTGTTTATCATGTGAAACATCCCATAACGGTTACTGCAAAAAAATCCCAAACCTTGGTGTCGCCAGGTCTCCGAGGTCTCCGAGGTCTCCGAGACAAGGCACTTGCTACTGGCGATCAACAGCGGCTCTTGCCGAGGCTCTTTGATCTGGACCTACAATTTCTGCAGGATTTATGTGTGGTCAATGGTGGTAAAATGTCCATAAAATGTCCATGGTTTCCTGTTGGGTTTTTCTCAAAAAAAAACGATTCACTGAATTGTGGGCTGGTCATATCTTGAAGCATCGCCAAAGAACATATTGCCATGTTGCCATATATTGATGGCCATATATTGCTGCATAACCAAATGGTATAGTATTGAATTCGAGAATTGGGGGGATGCCTGGAACATGGTTGTCACTGGTTGCTCCTCCCACCTTTCGAACGGCTCCCACTTCGATGGGATCACCCAGGGAGGTCCTGGCGCAATTTTTGTTCAACGGCAGCTGGAAATGGTTCAACCGCCGGCAGGACCCTGTTCCATGGCATTCCCACACGGTGGATTCCGGTGGTCTCCTCAGCGATTCCACCATGGCTTGGCAAGTTTTCTTGACTATCGAGGTGCCGAACGATAGTAACATTATGCAAGCATCTATAGAATCTATTGCCTAGAAGCACTACGATGCACTGCTCCACTTTTAACCTGGGCATATCAAACTGGTTCCACCTTCACTGAGCTCATGTCATTTTTGCCTCTCGAAGAGCACCCCAGACCTGAAGTTGGTGCAGCTGATGGAGCTGGAGTCGGGGGTCTACAAAGCAAGTTCAAAGCTTGCAGCAGTATCTCCAATGTCTTAAAACACCAAGTGATCCCCAAATAATCCACATAAATCCAAAATGTAAGGGTGAGATGATGGGAGATGCCCCTTTTTGGATCGTTTTTGCTGAATACTCTGAGGATCTTTGGGGTCTGCGGCAGGACCCCTCTGCAGCTGAAAACCACCAGGCAGCCGACGCATTTCTCCTGTGCTGGTCCGTTGGGTGCAGACCTCAAGATCTGCTTCAAGCCACGGGCTTTGTCAATGGATAGCCCCAGAATTGCAATTTTGATTGGGAATATGATGATCAACCACGGGATTTTGGAGGTACTCTATTTTCAGACACCCTGAATTTCATAGAGTGTCCATTCCCAACAACCACTTGATGGTTGACTTTCTAAAGGCAGCCACATCGTCCCACTGTGATTCCAGTGATCTGAGCCACCGAGCATGCTGGCACTTCGCCCATCCTGGCCAATCTGCGTTCCTCGAAGGAATGCCACCCTGGCGAAGCTGGATCTGCCCAATCTGGCCTGCTGTGAAAGGGGAAATAGGCTGAACATGGCTAAACCTTTCCACGGTAAGTTTCGGTTTCTACGCCATTCTACCCTTGTACCCAGCAGGTGGCCTTTCATTCTCGAAAGTTCCATTCCTTGGTCTTTGAGTCATCAGGGTCAGGCAGGGTCAGGTACATCTGAT